ACAATATATTTTCTCTTTCTTTGTGAAACCATCTCCATTAGTTTCTATAAGCTGCCTTTAAAAAAAATTAGCATCCTTTTACTATGTCTTTTGGCATCTTTCAATCATATTACAATTCTGTTCTGATAACCACACAGATTAGTGTCTAAAATGAGACTGATGAAAAGACTCAGACTCCAATGGCTAAATTTACTTAGGGGATTGTGGATAAACTGAAATAGAAGATGAATCAGCAATGCTAGGGCGGCAGAGGACCATCCTTGGCCCATCACTGCAGAGTTTTATGTCTAGGATGCAGGAAGAATTGTTTCAGTGAAACATGTCCATTGAAAAGAAATTAAAATTCAGAAAGCCTTGACTTTGAGTTCCTTAGTTGCTTCTGTAAGGTCTAGTCAATGTGAAAGTGACACCTGAGACTCTCCTGCAGGTATTGTATATAGGAACTACCAGATCAATAGTCTGACTGGCAAGGGAAAACAAGACTGAGACTGTAGCAGCTGATGTCTGAGACAGAGCCCCTGGGAACAGTAGAAGTTAAGGACCCTGAAGCTTCCCTTGGCTGGCAGTTCTTCATGCCAAGCAGAAATACGGTCACTACCCAGGTTGTAGATGCTGGAGGAGTGAGAACAGAGCAATTTTTAATTTTCACTGAGTGGAGTATTTTCATAGAATGTTTTATAATGCCGGAACTGTAAAACAATGGCAATTAAATAGGTACTAGATATTTTTAATGTGAGATCAAGTAATGGTAATAGTAATAGTCAAGTTTAAAACAAGCTATTACTTTACTAACCTACCCTTAAAAGTATCCAAGAAGATTTATTCGTTGTCAATTTTTTTTAACTTTAGATAACTTTCTTGTAAATATTTGCACTTTAAATCTTGTCTCTAACAAGAATCTATAATCTTGAGACTCTGTGATTTAGGCAAGGCAATTATGGTAAAAGAAAACTAAAAATAGTGTTCAAAGAAAAGACATATATGATTTGCTATTTGAACAAATCACCTTTACAAAATCAACATTATTTAATTTAGATTAAAAATGTGTCATTTATGTGTCCAGAAAAATCATTTATTTTTTAACCTCTTGCTTTAAAGATGGGGTTTTGAGTGTGAAAGTTATGGTTATGGTTAAATGTGTCTCTAAGGATTAGAAAACTTTCAGTTTCCAGAATGATTCATGGTTCCTAAGAATACTGAATTGAAATGGAATTAGGGAAAATGGTACTGAAGTATAATTGGATGGCAAACTTAAGATCTAATTTTATTTGTGACTGGAGTTATCAGCTTAAAAGAGACTGTTTTATCAATAAGATATTTTATATAAGCCTCATAGTAACTACAAAGCAAAAACCTAGAGTAAGTACACAAAAGGTAAAAAGAAATGAATCTAAGCATACCAATATGGAAAATCATCAGTTCCCAAAGGAAGAAAGGAACAAAAGGATGACAAAATAGCCTTAACAACTAATCAGAAGACATTAGTGTATCCTTACCCATCAATAATTACTTTAAATGTAAATGGACTAAATTCTCCAATCAAAAACTATAGAGTGACTGAATGCATGAAAAAACAAGATCACACTCTGTGCTGCCTACTGAAGAGACCCACTTCAGTTCTAAGGACATGCAAAGACCCAAAGTAAAGAGATGGAAAAGATGTTCCATGCAAGTGGAAACAGAGAGCAAGAATAGCTATACTTACCTTGGACAAAATAGACTTCAATTCAAAAACTATCAAAAGACGAAGGTCATTATTTAATGACAAAGGGGTCAATTCATCAAGAGGAAATAATAATTATTAATATATATGCACCAAACATTGGAGCACAGAACTATATTAAGCAAATACTAACAGATCTGAAGGGAGAAACAGACAGAAGTAAAATAATAGTAGAGGACATCAATGCCCCACTTTCAACAACAGATAGATCATCTAGTCAGAAAAATGAAAAAGCAACATTGGACTTGAATTATACTTTAGAGCAAATTGACCTAATAGACATATACATATAACATTTTACCCCAAAGCAGTAGAACATACATTCTTGTTAAGTGTGCTTGGAACATTCTCCAGGATAGATCAGATCATATGTTAGATCACAAAACAAATTTAAAAGCATTGAAATCATCCCAAGTATCTTTTCCAGCCACAATGTTATAAAACTAGAAATTAGTAACAAGAAAAAAACTGGAAAGTCACAAATATGTGGAAATTAAACAACATTCCCCTGAACAGCCAATAATTTTAAAAAATCAAATGGGATATAAAAAAAATCTTGAGTTAAATGAAAATGGATGCACAACATATGAAAACTTATGGGCTGCAGTAAAAGCAATTCTAAGAGGGAAGTTTAGAGCGATAAATGCCCACACTAAGAAAAAAAGAAAGATCTCAAATAACTAAACATTATACCTCAAGAAACTATAAAGAGTAAAACAAAATAAACCAAAAATTAGCAGGGGGAAGGAAATAACAAAGATTAGAGCAGAAATAAACGAAACATCAGAAAACAATAGAAAAGATCAATAACACTAAGAGCTAGTTTTTTGAAAAGACAAGTAAGTTCAACAGACTTAGCTAGACTTTCCAAGATAAGAGGAGAGAAGAGTGAAATAAAATAAAAAAACAAAAGACATTGCAACAGATATCACAAAAATACAAAGGATAGTAAGAGATGACTATGAACAATTAGATGCCAACAAACTGAATAAAGTAGAAGAAATGAATAAATTCCTAGAACCATCATATAACTCACAAAGACTGAATCAAGAAGAAACAGAAAATCTGAAAAAACCAAAAACAAGTAAGGAGATTGAATCAGTCATCAAAAACCTCCCAACAAAGACAATCCCAGGATCAAATAACTTCACTGGTTAATTATATCAAACATTTAAAGAATTAATGGCAGTCATTTTGAAACTGTTACCAAAACCAGACAAATATACTACAAGAAAAGTACAGGCCAATTACTCTGATGAATATAGAAAAAAATTCTCAACAAACTACTACAAACAAATTCAACAGCATCATACAGCATGAGTAAGCGGAATTTATCCCTGGGATACAGGCTGGTTCAACATACATAAATCAATAAATGTGATACACCACATTAATAGAATGAAAAAATAAATATTATACGATCATCTCAACAAATGCAGAAAAAGCATTTGACAAATTTAAAATCTTTATTCTTTCATCGTAAAAACTTTCAACAAATTGGTTTTAGAAGGAATGTAGCTCAATATAATACAGGTCATAAATGATAAGTCCATAGTTAACATACTCAGTGGTGAAAGGTTGATAGTTTTTTTCTCTCTAATATTGCAAACAAGACAAATTTGCCTATTCTTTCCAATTATATTCATCATAGTAGTGGAAGTCCTAGACAGAGCAATTAGGAAAGAAAAAGAAATAAATGGCATCCCAGTAAGAGGAACTTAAAAAAGAATTTGAATTGTCTCTGTTTTACCATGGCTTCTTCCTGTGAATTCTTTTGATAATGATAGCATTATGAATAGTGCAGCTGAATCTTGTTCAGTATTTGCTTCATCAAACATGCTTTATGTCTTACTTCTTTTTAATATTTATAAAAATAAAGTTACTGTTTTTACATTAAAAATGAGAAAATGAGGAACAGAGGGATTAAATAACACTAAGTGGCTGAACCAAAATTTGCTTCAAGATTTGAGTATAGAGCCCGTATGCTTAAACATTTTACTATATTTTTCTGTTTATATCATTGAATGTTTGTCTCTCTTATGACTCAGGTTGTCTTGTGTTATAGTTATCTATGAATCTTTTCTAGTACAAACTATTCAACTGAAATAACTGGAAATCACAGATATACTCAAGCATATCCATTTAGTCTTTCCATTTTAAAGGTTTTCTAATATATTGTTATGCATCTTCTTAATTTAAACTTTTATAAGTCAGAAGGAATTTGAGGCAAGTTACTTGAATAATTTTAACCTTTAAATATTTTTAATATTCTGCCTATTCCTTTTCCACAGCATTTAGCATATTTCTTTGAATATCAGAAGTGCTCAAATTTTGTTAAATAAATATAGTTAACCTGTGTCGACCCCCAGGTGTCCTCAAATTCCTCAGCATTCTAGAATCATATTTTCCTTTAATATTTTACTAGAATGGCTAGAGTGCCTATTCTGAATGCAGTGGGAAGCTGATTGCTCTTCTGCTCCACAATATTTCCAAATTGTATGGGTTGGGAGAAGGCTCCATATATTTTCCCTGGTCACCAGCCACTTGAGTTGAACTCCTGCTAATTAGCTCCATTCTGTGACTTGTCTCCTGAGATTGCCACTCTCTTGCTCTACAGACATAAGTGTGTTTTGTGATAGATTCTTACTGATGGCACAGCTTTCATTTATTCATCTCATAATTCACTGAACATGTAAACATTCATGGAGTGTCGAATGGAACTATGTTGGGCACTGATAAGACAATGATAAATAAATCAAGTCACCACAATCATGTAGCTCATATTCTAACCAGGGAACATGAAACTCACACAGGAACACAGATAAAAGTAAAATTACAACTGAGATAAGTATGATGAAGGGAAGGCACATGGTGGATTCAAGGATTCCAAAGAGGAGGCCTAAGTCCATGTAACAGATGATGGTTTAAATTAAGGAAATGATGGTGGAAATGAAGATAAAGAAAATATTTGAGAAGCACTTAGTAAAGTGTAAAACAAGAGGACTTGGTGATATGAGGGAAGCATAGGGTATCAAAAATATAGAGCTTTTATCCTAGGAGAAGATTGCCTTTTTATTATTGTGTAGTTCTTATTCTGTATGTCATGGCTTACCGAAACTAAAAGCTAATATATAGTAGTCTATACAGAGTAAGTACTTGATGTTAAGAATGTAGAATTAAAATGCTTAGTAATGAATTATGACTTTCAAAGCTATATATTCCTGGGAGGCAGAATATCTATACCTAATATTGTATCTGTTCTTATGCTCTTTTAAAGGGAACACCCTTCTGTAATAGACCTCCCCATGTTTCCATATCCAGATTTCTTCACCAGGAAAGATGAAGAATTGGCAAGAATCATTGACCATCATGTAAGATTGACTTTCTTAAATTATTGGCAAAAGCTTTGTTTTTTTAAAAAAGGTATTTTGAATTAGAATGTGTAGTTCTGAGACTTTAATATTAACATGTGGAATTTAAAAGTAGGGCCATGTGGGCATTGCCAAAATTAATTGTATCTCACAGTACTATCTATACGTATCAACGCCTTCATTGGGTTACAGAAAATTTAGCCTCTGTCATTTAAAAATACTAGCCTTATCTTGTTTCCTTGAATTAGTACTGATATTTTTATATAAGAATCTGATATCGAACACTGAACACTGATTTCTTCTACCATGTAGTTTTAATAATGAAACAAAAATATTTTGACTCAATTTTCAGTGACCATTCTTTACCCTTGAACTATTAGAAAGACTTTAATCACTTTGTTTGTGGTATGAGTTAAACAAGCTCTGGCAATACAAGGCTAAGACATTTTAACCCATTGAGCTATATTTAGTTGATGATTTCTTGCCAAATCATTTTATGATTGCTTATTTATAGGAGTAGAGTTTACACCATTTATTGAATAGACTATCTTTACCACATTGTACGTTCTTGCTCCTTTGTCAAATATTAATTCACCATAAGGGTGTAGGTTTACATCTGGTCTCACTATTCTTTTCCAATGATCTGTATGTCTGTTTTTGTGCTATTTTGATTACTATGGCTTGTAGTATAGTTTCATATCAAGTAGCATGATTCCTCCAACTTTGTTTTTTTGTTTTTGTTTTTTTTTCTGAAGATTGCTGTGGCTATTCTGGGTCTTTTGTGGCTCTATATAAATTTTTGGAATATTTGTTGTAGTTCTGTGAAATACCCCATTGGTATCTTGATAGGAATTGCTTTGAATCTATAGATTGCTTTGGGTAGTATGGACATTTTAATAATGTTAATTCTTCCTATCCACGAACATGGTATAAGGTTCCACTTATTTATATCTTCTTCAGTTTTCGTCTTCAGTGTCTCATAATTTTCCAAGTACAGGTCTTTTACATCCTTGGTTAAATTTATTTCTAGGTATTTCTTTCTTTCAATGCAGTTGTAACGGGATTATTTTCTTAGTTTCCCTTTCTGATAGTTCATTATCGTTGTATAAAAATGCAACTAATTTCTCAATATTTATTTTGTATCCTGCTATTTGCTGAATTCATTTTTCAGCTCTAGTAGTTTTTTGGTGGAATCTTTAGGGTTCTCTCCCATGATTAATTTTTGTACTCCATTTAATTAGTGACCTTTTGAGATAATGAGGATTATTTCATTTACTTATCCCACTGAATTATAATTTATCATATTGCTAATATGTAAACTACTCTAGCAATAGCTATACACATTAGAATTTGGAAACAGAATGATACCCTGGAAACACAAAATGAGAGCTGTAGTATTGTATTGTTATTCTACAATGAAGGTTTTGCTAAACCAATATGTCACATGTACAGGGTATTATAAAAAATTTCTAATGGTTCATAAATTATAGCATCTATATTTTACCATTCACTCAACCAAATTATCTAGAATAGATCACAAGAGATAGCAAAATGCCAATGTGTATATACACATATATATTGTGTAGTTTTAATAACAGATCAAAAATCTTTTTACTCAGTTTCCATGACTATTCTTTACCCCTGAAAGAATAGAAAGACTTTAATCACTTTATGATTAGACTCATCTGCCTTGGGCTAGTTGAAGAGACAGAAGACATTATTTTGAATGATAGAGAGGAGGCTGGGAAGAGAAGGCTAGGAAATGGATCCTAAATACCATCATCTTTTCCTCTTTCCAAAGGTATAATAAGCATTTTGTAGGTTATTGTTGCCATGAAACTGTTTAGAGTGTAGCTATAAAAGGGTAAAGGAATCTTCTCTGGAAATAAGTTTGATAATTGATAGCACCCAAATTGTTTGATATGTAGCTGGCCTAATCAAATAGTTGTTTGTAATATTGATTTGGGAAGGTTTATGGAAGTTTCTTTGAATATCACATTTAACAAAGTATTCGTGTATATGCCATTTCCTTTCAGTAGTTAAAGCAGTAATGCTTTGCATGTAATGTTTTACACTTTTCACAATGTCTTTACATTATTTACTTTAATCCTCACAACAACCCCATAAAACATTTACCAATAAGAATGGTAGTTTACATTTTAGTCATTTGCCCAAGGTTTGAAAGTTAGGAAATGACTGCGTATACACACGAAACCAAATCTTTGGACTCTAAATCTACTTTTCTTTTTAATTCTCCCTCATTGCTTAGCTAACATTACTGAGTGACCATAATAAGCAAGAAATAAGGTGAACACCTAATTGCTCAGCAGATATTAAGAAACTGCTGGTATTCCATAGCATGATGATTGAATTCTTGAGGGAATGAGTTGAAAAAAACAGTAAATGGTGCTTCTGTTTCTCATCAGTTTCAAGCAAACCTGCATACTCCTAGCTGTCACGTCAATGATAATATTGGCAGACAGAAGTAAAGACAAGACAATGGTTTATCCAAATAGAATTTGTCAAAGTCAACAGAGACAAAGATATGAAAGAAATGTTTACTTTTTTTCTGGGTAACAAAATGGAAGATTATAATGTTATGGTGAATTCTGGCCTTGCCCAGTCTAACAAGGGAAAAAGGGAGGAAGAGCAGCCTCCTAGGCATTAGTGATATGCCACAGTCCTGTTTTTATACATGCTGTTTGGGAAACCCAAGCATACTATTTTACTGTGAGTTCTTTGGGATTAATCCTCTGTCCATTTTTCACAATGTAGATATCAAAGTTGTTAGGTACATTGAAATCTCTCATATGAGCAGAATAGTTGTCTTTGTTTATAGATACTACCTTATTTCACCAACTACCACCTCTATGCTATAACATAAAATTGGTAGTTCTGTGAAACAATATTACTAATTAGTTTATTATATAAGAAAAAAATTATGTCACAGATAAGTATCAATGAATGTGTAGACGAAGACGAAGCATGAATTTCAGCCTGTGCTTGGATGTTCAGGATGTTTTGTCTCAATTTTCTGGATATTTCATGCAAAAATGGTTTCTGAGAAATGAAATTATATGAGTAATAACTGTGTGTAGAAACAGCCTCGAGTTAAGTGCAAGTAATTTTTGTATTTCTTATGTCTTTAAATTTTAATTGGAATTTTAAAAGTAGATATGATTTGTTATGCTTTTAAAAAATACTGACTCCGAGTATGTTGACATTTTTAAAAGTTCTATTGCCTTTGGAAGGCTGAGTGAGATGTTATGGATTCTGAGGTTTGGCCCCACTTACAATTCATATCACTTATAATTCACAGCACTAATATATAGTAATTTATAAGTTAATTGATAGGTTGTTAAACACAGTCTGGTTGCTTGTGTGTATGCATGAGTGGAGGATGACAAACGAGCAATATAGGTAGTATCTTTAGGAATTTCCAACATTTCATAATAGGGGCCATTCTGCCTTTAACTTTTCACCCAGCCTAACCAGGGTTTACCACCACTTTTTACCCTTTCTTTCATGAGAGATACTAGGAGGGAAAAAATGTCCTCCAGATAAAGCTTGACTAAAAGACCATTGTTACTTCCCACTCCTTATTCCTGGGGCCCTTACCTTCAGATATGCTGTTATTGTTATGAGTTAACATCCTTAATTGCAACGAATCTGTTAATGGTCTACTGCAATATTAGGATTTATCATTTTTTTGACCTCACATGTAATAGTATCACAATCTTTGCCTTTCACTTTAATTTGGTTTTTCTTCGGCTTGATTTCTTATTTTATGATCTCATGCTCTCATGGAAATATCAATATTGATGAAGAAAGGAAATTTATTTGGTATATAGAAATATAAATCCTATTATCTCTTCTTTTGAATGGTCTATTATTATTAAAGTGTTAAGAGGGAATCCTGTTTGTTTTGTGGGACTGGCACACTTTTTGATAGATAGCTTATATATTTTTCCAGTGTGGTAGAGTACAAATTCCTGAAGAATATCTCTGAGAAAAGTTAAGAGGATAATTGAATATAAGAATTTGCATTTTGAGTAGGTAAAATGATTTTTTTCATGCCGAATCAATTTACATCATATGTAAATGACACCTTTTCTCTGTAACAGTGGCAGGAAGAGCTGAAGACCTGGCAGAAAGAAGATGCAATATGTGAGGCCAAAGAACGTGAAGATAAGGAGTTAGAGGGAAAAAATCACTTCAGAGAAATTATGAGAAGAAGGGAAGAGAAACTACAAAAGCAAACCAAACCCTATGAGCTTCCTCCTAGGACTGAAGTAATTTCATCAGAAAAGAAAATGACCTCCCAAAATTGAGATCTGTATGCCAGAAATTCATTGCATAAAAGAGACTAAGATAGCTACATGTTAGGGAAAAGTTCTAATTAACTGGAAATCATCTTTTAGAAAAGAGCTGTTATCCTGGTACGGGCTCTGTAATAGTCATATCTTAGCCCTCAATTAACTGTTAGCTCTTAATCATATTTGAGTAAAGTGGTTTTACCAATTAAACATTTTTAAGAATACAGCTAGACGTTTCCTAATTGACTCTTATCTTGTGATCATACAGCATACTTAATCAATGATTCTTGGAGTATTGATATTCATTGGACAGTTAGATGAGAATGAACTGCAGATTTTTAATGAGCCTCATATAAGAATTATTTCTTGAAAACAGAGAGAGCATTAACTGATACTCCTATAGTAATTATTATTCAAATAAAAGAAGTAAGGGACCTGCTTGGATTAGAATTTCATAGTCAATTTGTGCCAAGTCAAACTATATGTCAGGAGCTGGAATTTGATAAATGACTGCTTATGAACAAATCTAGGTGGGCCAATCCTCTCAGAATGAGTCGATCTTTAACATATACCAGAGGAAACTCTTGAGATAGTGGTTTTATTTAGTCAGATGAGTTTATGAGAATGAATCTGGCACTTACTAATTATCCAATCAGGAGTCATCTTTAAAATGTCAGTTCACTTCATCTGATTCACTCAACCTATAGGTAAGAGTAGTAGGGTGGGTTTCCTGTGATGCCTTACATGCTTTTCCTGAAAAATGTAGATAATAACCACACTTCAACTTTGCATAGGTGACTTGGTGAGACTCAAGAGACAGGTGCTTTATCAGAGATGTCAAACACAAATGACTATCAGGTCAAGAAGGTAACATAAATTAGTGACAGGGACTACGGAAAACCTACTCTATCCTAAGAAAGTTCCCAGCACTCAGCTGTACTCTGCATTGTATGCCCAGTATTGTAGAATCATCCAGTTTTTTTAAGAGTAGCACCTCAAATGGGATTATTTTTTAAATAAAAGTTGCTAAATTTCAAAATATTGGCAAGCAACTAAAAAAAACTTACATAAGTTTGATTTAAATTTCACACATGAACCGCAAGTTTTGACCTATATTATGTGATTTAAAGTATCATTTTATTTAAGATAACAATATATGGTAGGAATGTGGGGTAGTGGGGGGTGTTCCTATTTTGATTCCCAGTAGATATGATTCAGATTTATATTGCTTCTCCCAAATCTTTATCTCATTCTTGTCTCCCCAATATGTAAGTTCTCAGAAATAACATCTCCCAATGCACCTGTCCCAATTCCTTCATCAGTCTTTGCTGTCTTCGCATGTGAAAAGAAATCTGTCCTGCAGAAGGCCAGCAGTCCCTTTTCTCTGAATCCCATCCCTTCCAAAATCTTGCTCCATCAGCCATTCACTATTGCCCCTGGAAGTCCCTCCCCATCACCCACGTCTAACCATGCAGGTGTCAATTTCCTACCATCCTTCCATCCAAACTGCTCTCCCCGAAGGCCCACGGTGAGATCAGCCTTGCCGAACCATGACTGCCCTTTTAAGACATAATCTTTCTGTTTGGTTGTAGGAGAATGGAACCACTGGTCTATAAGCTGTGGGGAAGGGACTCTGGAGATCAAAGAACTTCAACAATCCTGTTGTTTTAGAATAATTTTTTTAGAAACCTGATACCTCTAATTTTTGAACTTCTCTGATGTTCTGAGGCACAGATTAGTCTGCTTTAAGGCCTCCCTACAGCAGACTTAGGTTCGTTTTTTCCTGTTCTGCTTAATCTCTTCCCACTTGTTCATCTGCTTTCTAACTTCCACAATTATCTTAGTATTTTCAGTGGGCTATTATTGCCCTTTCTTCTTATGGATTTATGCCTTTTTTAAATAATCTTTTTCCTATCACAGTAGTGGAGATCTGGAAGGAGGCCTACAAAAAGAATATAAACACACACCCATATATACATATGCATAAGGATTCTGATTAATCAACTCTATAGATAGATAGAAAATATATAGATAACTTTATTTTTAAATTATTCTCTAAAATTCTTTATTAAGTTATTCTTTAAAATTCTTAAACTTTGGCAACACACACCTCTTGTGGTTTTCCTGCTATATCCTGGAATATTAGCAAAGACTGGGACTTACAGACCTGTGTCCACATTCTACTTATGCCTCCTGCTAGCTATGAAGCATTGGGCAAGTTACTGAACCCATCTGAGCTTCAGTTTACTCATTTATAAAATGGGTACAATGTATATAAATAGTGGTATCTGTCAGAGTCTAATCAGGAAAATGGAAACATGCCAGCCATTTTAAGGAAGAATTTAATGGAAAGAATTGTTTTAAAAGGTGTTAGAGAACTGGGCAAACAAAAAGGAAAGACATACAACAGAAACCCTAACTGCAGGAAACTGCTACCACCTCTAGACACGGGACGAGAGAGAAGAGGGTTGGATTATTAGAATCTGGAAGCCTGGAGGGGGCACCACACACAGCGGGACTCAGCTCTCTGAGTGGGAGGCACTGCCCAGCTGGTACCTCTGACGGGCACAATAAGGCTGTTTGGGGATCCCAGAAAGAAAAGAGAAACTGGAACAAATTGGCCGTAGTAGAAACCATGCTGCCAGGAAGAGCAGGGAAACAGGAAGAATCAAGTTCCTTCTCCCCAGCTGGAGCTCTCCCTCCAGTGCTCCTGTCTGCAGCATCACAAAGCAGAGAAACGAAGGGTGGTTTTGCTGCTGAAAGACACAGGTTAAATGACTGGAAAAACATGAAGCTCCATGCCTAGAACATATTAGGCCATGCAATAAAAGTTAATTCCCCTCTTTCCCGGCCCCTCCTTCATTTGGGGCCTTCTTTTCTGCAAGTTTTCCTGAGACCAAAAATAAAAAATAGCCCGGCTGGGCATGGCTCAGCAGTTGAGCGTCGACCTAGGATCCAGGCGATTGGGGTTCGATTCCCGGTCAGGGCACAGGCCGGGTTGCGGGCTCGATCAATGACTCTCTCATCATTGGTGTTTCTGTCTTTCTCTTTCCCTCTCCTTTCCTCTCTCTGAAATTAATAAAGATATATTTTAAAAAATTTTTTAAATAAAAATAAATAAATAAAAATTTAAAAAATGCTTGGGAAAAAGTATCATGACCTTTTAAGTTAATGTAAGTGGCTTAGAAAGAAATTTTGACTACAATTTGTCTTTATAACAGAGGTTAACATAACTAACCTTTAATTCTTCCAGTAGGTACTTAACACAAACTCAAATGGAATTCTTGGTACTGTATCCTTCACATTAATTTTGCCTCAACATTTACAAAGGTTTCATGAGCCTCAGGCTGGGTTGGGCACCAGGTAGACTCTTTACACTCTTCTCTTGTTGTCCAGCTTGTGGTTTCTCAGCCTCAGTTATTTATTTTCCCAGACTTCCCACTTGAAGCCGGTTAGAGGGTGAAGGAAGAGAAAGATGCTGCCTGCCTGCTTACCTCTGCTGCTCTTCTCATCTGTAAATGCCTCTCCTACTAGGAGGTGTTAACCTACCTCAGGTCTAAACTCCTTTCTACCTAAAACCTGTTTCTATGTGACTTTACACTGTTTACTTTTCTTTTAAAGGACCAACCTAGGTCTTCCTACATTCATTTATTATAAATTCTCTATAGACTTCTCTCAGCATCCACCAAAGCAACTGCTTTTTTGCACAAACTACATTGTAGACCTTTTACCTTATTGAGAGATATTTATAGGAATTTTAGCTAGTTTCCCTAGGGTATTGGAAATTAAAGACACATATTAGGTGACAAAAGAGAGAAAAGGTAAATTGTAAAACCTGAGCAACAGAAACATAGACGCAATCATTTCTCCTAGTGCAATTTAAAATGGAGAAATCAAAAGATTGGCAAAGGGCCCGGCTGGGTGTGGCTCAGTGGTTGAGTGTCGACCGGGGTCACAGTTCGGTTCCTGGTTGGGACACGTGCCCGGGTTGCGGGCTCGATGCCCAGTGGAGTGTGTGCAGGAGGCAGCCGATCAATGACTCTCTCATCACTGACGTTTCTAACTTTCCCTCTCCCTTCTTCTCTCTCTAAAAACCAATAAAAGATATTTTTAAAAAGATTCACAAAGATTTGCAGGGCATGGCAAAGAGAAGATTAAGGAAGAAAACACCCAAACCAGCTCTCTTTACTGTGGAGATTAGCGAGTGGGTGTTTGGGGGAAAGGGGCCTGCAGAGTAGTAGACAATTAAAAGCAGCTCACAGCAGCAATGATGGAATCTCTATAGTAATGTTTAGCAATTATAATTCAAGTTATTGATTCTTCTCTTCTTACCAATAAAAACCCTCTCTGGGACATATGATTATAACTGTCCACTAGCTGATCTTTAGTGACTGTTCTCACTTTAAATTTTTTTCCATATCATTAAATCCAGAGAAAGTTGCGATGTGTAAGTAGTAAGCACAGTCCCTTCTTCCCATATGCCACCGTACCCATTCCACCATGTCCTTGCCACATGGTTCCACAGCAGGGTTTACAACAGCGGCGCTTCTCACATTTCCAGCTGGATAATTATTTAATGTGCGTTTTCAGCTGTTTAGCAGCATCTCTGGTCTCTACCCACAAGATGCCAGTAGCAGTCCTTCCCCTACACCCCGCCCCTAACTAAAAGTCCCCTGGAGCAAAGTCGCTCTTGGTTGAGAATGATTGTTCTAGAGTTTCGCTGAACCTGACTTCCACATTTCATAGGTAACCTCTTGGTAATTGCTTCGTAAACTACTGGCACATTAACTCTCATTTTTGGTCAGCTAGTGATTCTCAGTGAAAATCACCACAGGTCTCATGAAGCCTCTTCATTCCTCCTCCTCTCGCCACTTGCAGAAGTGGGACCGTGAACAAGAGCACCCCTGTTTGTTTTATACATGATCACCCCCTCCCCTCCCCCGTGGGCTAAAGACAAAGAGGGAGTCATGAAAACCTACAGAGAAAAGACAGGTCTGGCAGTACATTCAGCCCAC